GCTTAGTCATTATTTTTATTAATTGTTAACAATATACCTAAGTTACAGTATCTGCTAACTGAGGTATTATGTGTTGGGATATAAAATGTCAGCTTGTGTTGTCTGGGTCGTATGTGGTGGCTGGTGCACTGAAGATATGCTGAGATTTGCTATATGGTTGCTGTGCTGAAATATTTTGAACTGTGTGGACATACCTTTCTGATTTAACCATGGAGCATGTTTGATTATGAAGCAAATATTAAGCTGTGGAGCAGAAAGAAAATACATCAGTAATGGACTCTTCAATCATCATGTAAATCCCCAAAAGGATTGTAATATTATTGTAAATGCCGAACAGTCATTTGCAAGTGGTTAGTGCGAAAGAAGGCTCGTCACGTGAGACATCCATATAAATTTGAATTTGGGTTACCAATATTATCTACGTCTTTTTACTGTTTTTCGAATTTTAAGTTTAGTTAGACTTATCTTTCTTATCGTTTCTTATTCAACTGTCATGTTGTCATGTTGTACATTTTTTATGACATTGTGATCCACTGAAGCATCATGTGCTGCAACAGCATCTAAGAAAAGCTTCAGCAGTCAACAATAACATGGCAAAAATGTGAATGGTCACATCACTTATCAATGTATGTATTTCCTGGTGAGGTGATTAGATGACAATTTATGTCAGGTTTTCATCTCACCTTCAAGATGCTGACCAAGTGTTCAGTACCAGGGCACCACTTCTGTGAGATGGCAGTACAAGAGCTTGGATGTCCTGGGACATAGACCACTATGTACACCATATATAGATATATAGTGGTCTATGCCTGGGATCCTTCCAACTGAAGGTCAATAAGACTCCAGAAATGTATTAGTATTGGATAATTCTTCTCTCAAAAGTTGACTGTTTGTAAGCAATGAGAAAGTTCACATAGGTACCCAAGATAGTCAGGTTCATGGTAGTTGGTAGTTCACCCCATCCACCTTTCTCCATGGATACTGCATGTTAGGTTGGTTGGTTGGTTTGGGTTAAGCACCATATCCAGTGGACTAAGTGCTAACCGGAACTCTAACTCTGCTCCAAGCAGCCAAGTAACGACAATGTCACGTGCATTACCCAGGAAATGAATCTGGATGGCTGACTCTAGAGGCAAGACACTTACTCCTAGACCAGAATGCTCCTCAGTCGCCACTAAACTGCACGTTAGCAGCACCCTTCGTCCGACTGATCATCGATTTATCGACAGCCGCAGCCATGCTGAACCCGGAGGATGTCCAGAAGTTCAAACTGTTCATCGCGGCGTGCGACGCCAACCCGGCGCTGCTGCACCTGCCCGAGCTGGAGTTTTTCCGCGCCTTCCTGCTGAAGCACGGTGCCAAGCTCCCCGAGAAGCCGGCGACTCCGAGCGGAGCCGGCGCCGGTACGGGCGATGGAGCCGAGGACACGGCGGCGCCAGAGCCGGAGACCGAACAGGAGCCGGAGCCGGAGCCCGATGAGGAGCAGGAGTCGGAGGAGAGCGATCTCGAACTGGACAATACTGGAGTGATTGGTGAGTACCCCTGGGTGGTTGCAGGGGAATGAATCGTAAGGTGTCTCAGAGGCGAGGACGTCGTGCGACGTGCGTTGTGTCAGTTAATGAATACACTTATTCATCCGTCAGTTATCAGTTTTTTTTTAACTTGTTCGACCAAAGCATATGTTTTGTGTAGCGCAACGAGCATCGCCAGTCACAATTCCCAGTCTCACGTACGACCGACGTATCTTTCGCTGCTCCTGTGTGACCCACCCCTTAATGACACCCCGCCCCGCCGCAGAGCCGGAGCCTGACGAACCCCAGCCGATGGGCGACACCAGCAAAGAGGTCACCGAGGCGGACATGGACGCCGCCAATGAGAAACGTTCCGAGGCGGCGGCGGCCTTCGCCGAGGGGGAGCACCAGAAGGCGGTCGACCTGTACACAGAGGCCATCGAGCTTAATCCTGGTGGGTGTCAGTTGGAGTGAGCTGAGCAGGGGAGGGGTGGTTGTGGTGTGTATGGTAGGATTTATGAGTGTTTTGAGTTCAAAGGGCGTCGCTGCGGTGTGAGTATCTAGTGAGCTCTGGCCGGCGCGCCCTAAATATCCAATTAGCTTTTGAGCTGTGCGTAAAACTCCGAGGCAGCCTGTGAATGTCAAGATGGCTGGTGTGTACCATTGGTTTTTATAATCAGGACTAGCTCTTGATTTGATAGCTTAAATGCTGTTACTTTACCCCATGCTTGGAGTCTCGGAGGACGAAGATTCTACGCCGCCCGGCCAATCCCGTTCAAGGTTAGCGGGGACTTGGCTGTGGTTAGGAAACGGTATTGGCCCGATGACGTAGAATCTTCGTCGTCCGAGAGAGTCCGAACGCTGGGTTAAAATAAGGTCTTGAATAGGAAGAGTGACAGCTTTATGACACTGATATTTGCAACCATTCTGTCATTGTCTGACGTTTTGTTCTTTGCCTTCCAGGATCCGCACTGTTCCACGCCAAGCGTGCTGCCTGCTACCTGAAAATCAAGAAGCCTCTGGCGGCGATGCGAGACTGCGACAAAGCCATCAGCATCAACCCCGATTCGGCGGCCGCCTACAAGTTCAGAGGACGTGCCAACCGGTGAGTTTGGCTGGGATCTCCGCGCCGCGCTGCACCGCGCCAGGGTGGCCGAGTGGTTAAGGCGCCAGACTTAAGTTCTGGTACTCGTTGGAGTGCGTGGGTTCGAACCCCACTCCTGGCAACCGGTTTATAGCCATGGTCCTGGATTGCAGAACGATACACTTTCCTAGCTAATGACCCTGAGGTGCTGCGGCCGTGATTGCTGTGGATGGGTCGTAGTGCGTGCGAGCGGTAACATACAGTGAACGGTCCCTCTTGCGTGCCTAACGTTGTGTGCCAAGTCTATTTTCAGTGTGACAGTGACTTGGCAAGTTCCGTGTGATATGCGTTGTAGCTCTCGGCGTCCTCTCTTGTGGTTTTCGAATTGGTTAAATCGTAGATGAATGTCCATATTTGAAGCCCACACTAAACCCCATCATTTCTCAACTGGTGATGTATTATACCGGGCCCTCGTCCTGGTATATAGCTGGCCTTCGCATGTTGTCTGGTGGTCTGTGTGCAACAAACCCGCCCTGCCGACAGCCCCCTCGTGCGTTAGTGTAAGCGCCATAACCGTGCCGCACTACTGACCACCGTTCTCCCGTCTCCTCCAGCCTGCTGGGCCGCTGGGAGGAGGCTGCCAAGGACCTGCGCACCGCCTGCAAGCTGGACTTTGACGAGCAGGCCGACGAATGGCTGCGGGAAGTGACGCCCAACGTGAGTAACGAGACTGGGATCCTGCAGGAACTGCTCGACTCGTTCATCTCGCTCCTGATGTAGCCGCTGCCGCCCTCCTTCGCTTCCGATTAGCCGCTGTCGCAGTCCTGGGCTGGTCGCTGTCCGTGGTGTCTGTCGCTCGCTGTCCGCCGAGACTGAGACTGAGGCGGGGAGCTCACGGGATGGAGTGTTTTCGAACGAATAGGGATAGGCCGCTGGTGGATTGAGGTCGAGCGGTTTGGGGGGGGGGGGGGAGGCGCGGGTGGGATAGGACGGCACGCTGGTGGATTGAGGCCGAGCACTGGGGCGCTGGTGTGTGAGGTTCCCTTCCTATAGGGGCGCTGTTGGGCGCCGGGACCGGGTCAGAATGGAACGGCGAGGCGTTCCCGGCCAGTCGGGGTGGAGGGACGGACGGCTGGTGGGCTATCACGGATGGTTACAGATGTGGTTAATGGTCTTCAGTTTCGCCACAAATGGGCACCATATTGCTTTATCGTAGCACCATCGCTTCCTAAACGCGATTATGGTAACAGCCGATGCTTCAGGATGTAGTGAGCAGGGTGGTCCGGGCTGGCGAAATTCCCTCTGACGGGCACACCCGAGACCGCTCCATTACGGTCAAGTGATGGTCCAGCCAATTATCTAGTCATTACGACTGATACATCAACCCCAGTCGTTTACAATCTCGGTCGGTATCAACTGAACGACAAGGTCAGTTTCTTATATGGGCATCGTTTTTATATGGGCATGGCTAGGTTCGACACATTGCCATCAAAAGTATGGCCTGATAGCATTAACTGTCATATCGATAGGCATCACAGTTTTTCATCCTTTTAAAATACCAATTTTAGATTATTATTTTCACATCCATCGTCATTCAGCGTAATTTGCGAATGAATCATGTCTTCTAAGCTATCGAAAATATTGCGTTTTTGCAAGCATTATCGACGTTGCCCTGCGCTTCCCTCCATTTAGATTTCCTTAGACCCCCACAAAGAATATTTCGTTGTCTTTCAGTGGTATGATATTGAAGTCTACTTTTTATATCACGTACGTAGTGTGTTGCTAACGGTGTGTTCATTGTATAATGTGTATGTAGAAATACCTGGGGCTGATTTGTCGTCACAAGCCGTCGATATTGAAACCATTGCCCCTTTCCTGTGATGCCTCAAATGTTTCTTTATTGGCGTCTTTTCCATTACATAGTTTTTCAGGCACGTAGTATTTACATAGTGACCGTCAAAATGCCAAGTACAATGTAAACTTTCTGTGCTTCGAGAGCATGCGTTTCTTTTGGAAGTCTCGGAGGATTTCGTCTACACCTTTTTACGCCCAATTTAGGTACCAGTGCACACGTATCAGCAATAATGCAGGCGATTTCGACAGTACGGCATAGTCTCTATGGCGAACTGTCGAAATCTATTGCACTATTACTGAACTGTATGCACTATGTCTTATATTTGGTCGTAAAAATGTGTATAAGGTCTTGGCAATAAGCAACCAAGTGTGTTGCGTTTGTTCTTCGGTGACACCGCTTGTATTTATTTACGTAGATACTCATCTTTACAGAAATATTTAATCTGCATTGTAATCAGTCCATATCAAGTGTAAAGGCTGATTGTGTTTGTCATTGACGTATGTTCACGTGTTCTTTTGAAATATATAATTTTTCGGATTGAAAGAATTCATTTAAAACCAAGGCAATTAATTTATTGCTGGACAGAACTATCAACAATTATCACATTCAACTGTCCTAAAGGGAGTTTAGCACAATTTACAAAGCTATTATATGTGATCAAGATGGTGGACGTTCACCGTCTTTCGCCTCTGTGATACTTAGTTTTGGGCGCTGGATGTTAGAGGTATTTGTATTTGGCGACCAACATTTCCCAGTCTCTGCTCGCGTTTGTTTATGATTGACCGAATTTCGGAAGCGGTCTGCGAATACCTCTGGCATCTCCTGCCTCGGGGTTCTACCGTGGCACTCGGCGAGTGCCGCACCTCCACACTCGACACGTTGTCCGCGCGGCTGGCGCGCGCTGCTGTCCGTCCGGACCTTCTCTGTGGCCGCGGTGGTGGTGGGGTAGGGACGGTGCACTCACTCCTCGCGCAGCACTCGCGCCGCGGTCTCTCGCGCTCAGGCGGACAATTGAGCTACATGAAAGAACAGTGTGTCCTAAACATACATCAGGCCACTGGCGCCGCGGGACGCCGGACGCGCCGCGTCGCGCACCTCTCAGTCGAGGGGCTCGGTCGGACGCTGGCTCGCTCTCTCACAGTCAGTCACACGGAGGGTGCGCCGGTGCGCGGGGACGGGGGCGGGCCGGGCCCGGTCATCAGACGTGTCTCCAGTTGGGTGGCCGCGGGCCGGCAGGCGCTGCGACCGGCGGCAGTGCTGTCTCTCTCCCTGGGCGCCCCCGGCTCGTGTGCGGCGCGCTCCCTGCGGGTCGGTCGGGAATGTCTCTCGCCCAGCGGCACCGGTCACTCGGCGGCGCGCCCGCCGCGTTCATCGCCGCTGCAGGCGGCGCGCGCTCGCTCGTCTCTCTGGGCGCGGGCCGGCACCTCGGCTGCGGGGACGCCGGGCCGGCGCTGGGTGCGGGCGGGGTGGCGGGCGGCTCCGCGCGCCGCTCAGCCCTGGCGGCGCTGGCCCCGGTCCACCATCTTGCGGTACTTGCCGAGCAGCTCGGGCAGGTCGTAGCTGATGGCAATATCCAGCTTGTCGAGCGGGCAGCCCTTGAAGTAGGTGCAGGTGGAGGCCAGCGTGGGGAAGTCGTACAGCGGGTGCAGCTGCCGGGCCGATGTGCGGAAACGGAGCAGAATCGTCAGAACACTGGACATGAAATTAGAACTACGATATACAAGTTTTGTGGCTAGATTAGTGCGTGATATTTAACTGAATCGACCATCAACATCGCTACATAAGGTTTTGACAAGAAAGTCGAGGAAGATTCTCGCCAAAGTAACTGATGGGTTATCGTATCTGGCTAGAGGGCTACGCTAACTGACCGTGAAGAAGTCCTCGTAGATCTCCGGATCGGGCAGGTCGTAGCGGGAGATGTTGGTCACCCGACTGATGCCCTCGTAGATGTGGTACTTGTGCGGGTTGGAGACGACGTCCTCAGCCAGCTTCTTCTTGTTGCTGAGGAACGTCTGCTGGTTGAGGAAGGTGGTCACGTAGCAGTCCACCATGCGCGCGTGGTTGCGCACTCGCACCTGCCGGAAAGGGAGAAGTTGGTCAGTGTGGGTTTTCAATAGAGGTTTTTGTCGGAAGGCCAGTGGTTGAACCTTGTTCATTATTTTGATTTGTAGCAAAGCACGAATAATCAGGGATATGTCTAGAAGAATTCACTCTTGAGCTGGCCGTCAGCAATGGGAATTGCATTGAGACAGCTAACGAAGAACAAATCATTCTGTATCAGGTGCGTTGAACTATCAGTCCGTCGCGAGCGCGTTCAACTCACGGCGTGCCGGCGCGCCAGTCCGATCCTGTTCTCCACGCGGCTGGAGAGTGAGCGCGCGATGTCGGTGAGGATGGCGTCCTCCTGGCTGCGGAACAGGTCGACGGGCGCTCCGTCGCGGTAGGGCGCCTGCACGAAGCTGCCCGAGTAGATGGGCGGCGGCGTGGTGCTGCCGATGAGCGGACTGAGTGACCAGATCAGACTGCCCTGGACGGAGAGAAGCCGGTCCGCCGGCAGCTGGTCGGCCTTGTTCAGGATGATGCGCACCTGGCGGAGAGTCGAGTATCGGTTAGTTGGACGTTCATTGATGAGCGTGCTTTGATTCCGAGAAAATCAACGCACAGACCAAGGACAAGAAGCGAAGCATTGTCATTGCAAGCATTGTTACAATCATCAATGTCAGCAATCTATGAAGAAAGTCTTTTTCGGCTAGAGTCCTCGTTGCAGCTGGTAGAAACAATGGTCTGAACCGTTTCGATGCCGTTTCGATGCTCTTTTAACCAGATTCAGCTCATTTTAAACATATTTGTTTAGGTTCATGGCATCTAGTAACTGAGCTTCTACTTGTGAAAATCGTTCCTACCTGATTCTCGCGGCCCTTGAGCTGGTCGAGCAGGCTCTCCATCTCGACGCCGATGTCGAGGTGGTGCGGATCGAAGACGACGAAGATGATGTCGGCACGGTCGATGAACCACTGGCAGACGTCGTTGAAGGGGTAGATGCGGCCGTACTGGCGGCCCTCCATGATGCCCGGCACGTCCACCACGCTCACCTGGTGACGCACACGGAAAACAACGACATGGGTGCGCGCGAACGGACGGAGAGCGGTGCCGGCCAGACGCCACGCAGCTGAAACGCTCGAGAGAATCATTAATGGTGGAAACATTTTGTCGTGGTTTTAGCGTAGAAGTCGGTGATGGTTCATGACATCCGGACTTGACTAATGACATCTCATGAATCTCAGCAAGTAGGTATCCGACTTACCCGATTTCTCCGAAGTCCATTGACTTGTCAGGGTGATGGAAGGCTGTAGAGTGGACAGCTTATTGAACCAGATATTGTCCCTTTGACTTGCAACTCCGGAAGACATGGCAAGAACTATACTTACTGTGGCTCTGTGACGAACTTCATCGGTACTTGCTCTTCTCTAATGACTTGGAGCCGGCCGATGGCACAGGCGGCACCTGCCTAACAAGCTACTGGAGAAGTTTGTGCAGAACCTTCCTCAGCAACCAGTTAGGCGGATGACGTCTGTTCGCCGGCTGCTGGATAGCATATGTAGGCAACTTGTGGATCCGCTTGATCAGAAACCTTGTCGTAGTTTGGGTCATGCAGCATTCTGGCCTCAGTCTGGGACGATCTTCAGACTGCTCATTTCGTTGCCAACCCACTTGCATACTATGAGACCCTTCGCTCATCGTCGGATCTCACTATTTTCGTTGATTCGACGGTATCAAGGGTTGCATGCTTGGTGTACCATCGCGCCAGTAAAGCTTTTATTTATTCGTCAAAGCGCAACTGCGCAACGAATACGTGACTCTTTTATTGTAGCGATTTCTTACTGACTCGCTATATTGAGAAGCTGGTAGTCGGTATCCTTACCTTTTCCAGAAGTCGATTTCATTTTCGTACCTCTTCGATGGTCTGATCACTATAGCCCTACCTTTTCGAGGAGCCGGTTCTTGAGCTGTCTGCCGGAGAGCCGCTCGAGGAAGGCCTCGCCGAACTTCTGCAGTCCGGCGAACTCCCAGTGCGAGGTGACCTGAGCGCCGTCCTGGCGGGCATCCTGCTCGCCGTACGTCAGAATACGGAACTGACCGCTGCCTGCCGGGTCAGCGAGACGACGTCAGATGTAGAGTGTGTGGGGGTATCGTGGCATCGCATTCAGGATGAACATATCATCTCACACTAGTTGGAGTTGTGACGTAAATCCTGGTCCTATACATATATGCTGGCCGTCAATTATCTCCCCGAAGGTTCTAACTGCCATGCTTGTCCATGCTCCTCTTTTTTAAGGTTCTTATGAACGTTGTCCCCGTGACACCGTGCATAATGATAGCACGGCTGTCATCCACGGTCGTGGCAACGTTCCTCGGTATCTCACCTGGCATGGCGGTGGTGCGCGTGGCGTCGGTACCCAGCAGGTAGTTAATCATAGTCGACTTGCCGCTGTTCAGCTGGCCCAGGAACAGAATCACCGGCTTGGCGAAGATCTCAGCGTCTGTGGAAAGGAGGGATGTCAAGACTAAAACAGAGACGGGCGAAACTCAGCCGAGAGATACATAAATGCGTTTGAAGGACTTCGTCGATTGCCGCACAAGTGACAACCTCTGTGCTAGCAGTTCTACAAATTACATCAGTATACTGTGTTGCATTAGTTTCAATTCCACGCGAACCGAGTGTGGGATGCGCCCACCTGAGAGTGTGCGCGTGCTGATGGAGCTGTACTTGAACGTCTCCTCCAGCGGCTTGATGGCCGTGTCAGCCAGTCGCTTCAGCTCACGCAGCGCGTAGTTGGTCGCATCCTCCACGGGTCGGCTGAAGGGGGCGTGCAACCCTAGCAGCTCCTCCACCTCCAGACGGGGACGGGCCGTCGGCTCCGGCGCGGCGGGAGCGGGACTCTGAGCGGGAGCAGGCGCGGGAGCGGGAGCCGGGGCTGGAGCAGGAGCCGGGGCGGGAGCTGGCACAGGAGCCGGTGTCGGGGCGGGAGTCGGAGCCGGAGTCGGAGCTGGAGTCGGAGCTGGAGTCGGAGCCGGTGTAGGAGCAGGAGTCGGAGCCGGAGTTGGAGCAGGAGTTGGAGCCGGAGTGGGCGCAGGAGTCGGGGCTGGAGTCGGAGCCGGGGTGGGGGCTGGCGCTGGTGCAGGAGCGGGGGCTGGAGGTGCGACTGGTGCTGGAGCCGGTGATGGTGCCGGTGCAGGAGCCGGCGCAGGAGCGGCGGCGGGGGCGGGGGCCGGCGCTTCTTCGACGGGAGCAGGTGGCGCCGCCTTCTCCACTTCGGGTTCTGAAAGCCGGCGCGGAGGGCGTCAGTTTGGTTTGGCCGCGGCCCATCCGTCGGTCGGCACCGCGTCAGCGCGCCGCGCCGAGACCGGCCGACAGCTCCGACCGCCGCCGATCCACTATTATGATAGCGGAGCCGGCCAATAGTGCTGTGGACGCCGGCCAAGCCGCGATTACCCGATCAGACCCACCTGGAGCGGCCGGGTCACCGGGCGGCGACTGGTCGACGGGCGCGGCGGCCGGCTCCTCGCTGACGGCCGGCGCGGGCTCCTCTGAAAGCGGAGCTGTCAGCGATGCGCACCAACCAGGCCAAGCAAAGCAGTGCAAGCGGCAAGGTTCAAATCAGGGGAAAACACTGCGTGAACTGCGTTTGATTAGCAAGCTGTCGAATGCTGTTACGGATCATTGGGCTGTTCAAACACCAGTTGGAGCGATGTTGGCTGGAGCTAACTGTGGTGACTGGTGGTGTATGATCTCGGTCAGGGGTGTCAGTCTACATGTCGGTATGCGTCATTGCTGTGTGCTACGACCTTGGTCTGGGAACGGTCTGGTGTCATTAGCGTGCGGGCAGGTGGCTTGACAACACTTGCAGGAAGGGAGGGGGTGGGCTTCAGTAAAATGAACTAGCGTGGGGTTTGGCTAGAGGTAGCACGTGCGGAGCTTGTGAACTTTAGGCGGATAGGTATCCCATGGTTGATTGGCGAATTTGAGTCCGGCAGCCTTGACGTGCTACATTGGACCTGTGATATTGTTATGATGGTAATATTCAAATGGCCATGCATGTTTTTTGTGGGGTAAGTGCGCACGAATGTAAGAAAATCTCAAAATATCAAAATTAGTTAGCTCTTAATTTTCATTGATCTTATAGCGAAAAAAAAACGTATGATTGGACTCAGCCTAGACACCAGGGGCCATATTCACGTCGATGATTTTCGTAAGAATTTTCTTAAGTTTGACCTACTTCTTAAGTAAATTTTTTTAATCACGTGAACTCCGTCGATAAAAACTTAAGCAGTGTCGACGTGAATACCAAATTATACTTACGAAAGAAAATCGACTTACGAAGTCGACGTGAATACGGCCCCAGGGGCTTTGTTTGGTCTATCAGCTCGGAGTTAGTGGATTGTGTCACTATCCAGTCATTTACCCGGTGCCGGCGGCGGCGGCGGCGGCTGCTGCGGCTGCGGCTGCGGCGCGGCGGCCGGCTCGGGGCGTTCGGCGGTGTCGGCGGCGGCGATCGGCTCGGGAGACTCTGCAACAGGCCGGCCCGTGTCGTGTCGGTGCCACTGACCCGAGAGTCTCACATCGTGAGTCAGCGCTGCCCGGTCCCTCCCCGCCCAGACCCGCTATCCGGCTGTGAACGGAGCGGCTCGGACGTTCAAAGCCGCCGCTGATCAACCTGTATATCGTTTGAGCCGCGGCTGGATGTCAGTGTTGACGTTTGCTATCGGATTGACTAGAACAGAGTGTCACCCGTTTCACACCAGTGAAACGGGTGGATTTATTTGACTAGCGAAGCCCCAGTGTCAGTTTTATGGCCGCGATCGGCCGGCTGCAGCCTGTTCGTCTGGCGCGGCGGCGAGTGCGTAAACATACCGTGCTCAGTTCCGTCCTCTCGCGAGTCGCCGTCCTCCTGATCGGGCGCCGGCGCGTCTGAGTCCGCAGGCTCTCCCGCCTCTTCGTCGTCATCATCGTCCGCATCGTCGTCATCCTCGTCCTCGTCGTCGTCGCTCTCCTCCCCGTCACTTTCGTCGTCACTGTCGTCTCCGTCGTCGTCGGCAGCGGGTGCCGTGTTCTGGTCCTGAGTGACCGGCTCTGCCGTCTCGTCTGAACCGTCCCTCTCAGTCTCCTGAGCGGGCGCAGCTTCCGGGGCAGAGTTTTCAGTCTCGTCAGCCTCATCAGCTTCGTCAGCGTCTACGTCTGCCTCATCGTCAGCGTCAGAGTCGTTAGCGTTATCGTCGTCTATGTCTGCGTCATCGTCGCTCTCGACGCTGTCGTCGTCTTCGGTTTCGACGGTGACGTCGGCATCGCTGATCCCGGCGGCGTCGGCGGCGGGTGCGGGGTCGGACCGGTCGCTCTCCGCCGACTCCGCTCCGCCTACCGCTACGCACATGCGGAGGAGGAGGTGCGGAACGCCCGTCAGTGTCGGCGTGCGGGGTCACTGCATCAACGGGCGCACCGTGTCGCCCGTCACCCACTAGCCAGGCAGCGGGGCGGGGGCAGGCAACAGGCCGGAACTAGTGAGAAATGGCCGAATGGCGACTAATAGTCATAGAGGAGGCAAGACCTAGTGGTGCTCAAGTGAATTCGGAATATGCATTCGGTTTTCATTTGTATTTTTATCCTCATTCGATGTGTTTGGAAATGATAGTCGAGCATTTCACGTGTTCGATGATATTCACAATGCAGTTCTCAACACGATCCGGATAAAATAAAAGTGATGTTAATGAATATTATGGCAAAAAGACTGCATATAAAAATGTACAGCGGGATAGGTCTAGTGGGGTGGATGGTTAAGGTGACCTCCATCGGCCGTGCTTTTATCGGGTAGTTGGCGTGCCGCAAGCTGCACCAATCGTTCGAACTACATGTGCAGGAAGCCGGGTGTAAGGCTGCTGTGGCTGGCGTGCGGGGCTACGTCTGCGGGTTAGCCGGGCGGGCGCGGACACTTACCGTAGCGGCTGGGCTGCTCCCCGCGGGCCAGTGCCTCCTTGTAGCGGCGCAGGTCGGCCTCACGCGCGGCGATGGCTTCGTTGCGCTCCTTCATGTAGCGGCTCTCGGCGAACAGTTCGTCGATGATGCGCCGGAGGATGGAGCGGCGCGGCCCGCCGGCCGCCGGCTGGTCGTCGCTGGGCTCCACCAGCTCGTCCAGCGCCGACTGAGGCAGATCTCCGCGCTCCACCTTGGTCCGGATGAGATCGCGGTGGCGCTCGAAGATGGCCTTCCTCCGGATCGCCATCTGGTGACGCTCGGGGAAGATGAGCTGCCAGAGACCGCGCCGTGGTCCGGTCTCGGCCTTACCGTCACCGACCGCATCATCCAGACCGGGCAGCTCGACCAGAGCCGACTGCGGCAGGTCGCCGCGTTCGACCTTGGTGCGGATGAGGTCACGGTGCCGCTCGGCCAGCGCCTGCCGGCGGAGGGCCATCTGGCGCCCCTCCGGGAAGATAAGCTGGAAGAGGCCGCCGCTGCCCTCCGAGCCCGGCAGCGCCGCCTGCGGCCGCGCCAGCCGCTCGTCGTGCAGCGCCGAGGCCGGCAGCTCGCCTCGCTCCACCTTGACTCGCACCAGGTCACGGTCGCGGGCGGCGATCGCCGCGTCACGCATCTGCATGTAGTGCACCTCGGCGAAGAGGAGGTCGTACAGCCAGCTGCCCGAGGAGGGGACCTCCATGGCGGCAGCAGAGGCGCTCCAGGCAGCGGCGGCGGCGGGCGCGGCCGCGGGCTCGACCGGCCGGGACTGCAGCTCGGCCGGGACCTCCGGCAGGGCAGCCGGGGCCGGCGCCGGCGCGGGAGCGTCTGCTGAAAGGTGAAAACATTCCAGTCAGTCACAAACTAACGGCGCCGTGGGACTATGGCAAATGAGATTCTCTGAGCTTATTAATGTTACCATCAGCCATACTTCGTGTGCATTCGGACCTTCTACTTTCAACTCCTTTTAATCTTTCAGACGTCCAACGGTTCCACCCCTTTCCCCCTTCTTCTGCTCCGACTGTCCCGTCCACTCACCGACTAGCTCTCCGCGCTCCAGTTTGACCCGGCGGAGGTCGGCCTCTCGGGCGGCGATGGCGGCGTTCCGCTCCTGCCAGTAGCGCGATTCGGCAAACAGCTCCGACCAGAGCCGGCCGAGCAGCGACTTTTGGCTGGCCTGGCCGCCGGCCGAGAGGGACGGCAGCGGCTGGTCGAGCGCCGACGCCGGCAGCTCCCCCCTCTCCACCTGCGCGGGAATAATGAGAGAGGGGTCAGATGTCACCGGAGAGCTGCGTCGTAAATGATTTCAGCAGTTGGGCAAGTCGAGATGTGGTTGGTTTGCTTATCTTTCTCTTGAAATTTCTCGCTCGATTGATTCTAAACCTACCCAACGGAATGCCAAACGTCCATCCATTCGGACGAAATTTTAAAAATCGTCACTAAAAACATTCTGGATTAAGAGTGCCGAACAGTTACAAAGATAGTCCGTGAAATTTCTCATTTCTGTCGAGAGTCGCCAAAAACTGTCAGGGCAATACATCAATTACACGCTCTGATACCCCATGACATCCGTGACTGACCGACATCCGATGATCCACCCAACTAACCTTGAGCCGGACGAGGTCACGGTGTCGGGCGGCGATGGCGATGTCACGCTGGCGCATGTAGCGTGACTCGGCGAAGAGCAGGTCGGAGAGCCAGCCGAGTGGGCCGGCGGCTGCCGGCTCGGAGGAGGCGGCGGCGCCGGCCGCGCGCGCCTCGCACTCCTCCCGCTCGCGCTTGATGTAGGGCTGACATTCCTCTCGGCTCGGCTCCGGCCCGGCTGCGGGAGGGGGACACGGGGTCATTGGGTCAGTCGGGTCAGTCGGGTGGCTAGGTGGTTTCTGAATTGCTTGCTTTTTCAAGTCTAACAGCTAGCAATTTGTCCCTGTTTGTCTTATTTAAAGTTGGTTGACTTGACCGGCAATCCATGTCAGGTTGTTTTAACGTTCCCTTAAAGCAATGCAATGCTATGAACGGGTTTCGTTTTCTTTGCGCTTACACCAAGGCCCGTCATTTGTCGGGTTGACTCGCAGGTGTTTTAGAGACCGGCTTCGCCAAGGGTAATAGTGGCCCATCACTGAGCTGTCTCGTCCCAGCACCGTAGACAAAGCCGGTTGGCCGGCACCGCTGGTGATCCGTCTCAGTCGCCAAGCGGCTCCTCAAGGCGTCAGACGCGGATTCTGTTGAGTTTCAAACTCGCCCATCGAAGAATCGCCCTCAAACTTCTTCGAATGTCAACCTGCGCTACGGATTGGTGTTGACGACAGGCCGTGCGGCGGTATGCTATGGCTTCTGTTCGATCTCAGTTTGTTGGCAGCCTCGGTTGTGAAGTTCAGTGAGAGTAATGCCGGATTCCTTGCTAGATCAAAGGTGTTTAGACCGTGCGCTAAATTCCGGTCAAATCGCTGGGTTTTCTGGCGAAGACTGACTGACCGGGTTTTGGCAGTGTGTCTGGGGCGCGGCCCGCGGGGGTTCCGGTGCCGGCGAGGACCGGCCGGCGGACCGTCTGCGGGTGACAGCACCGGGAGGAGTCCTCCCCGCGCCCCGCCCCGCCGGGCGGCTCACTGGCCGGCGGCCAGCACCGTCACCTGGCACCGGCGGCCCGTCCGAACACATTACTCTCGGTTTGTCATCCGTCCGCCGACGGTGTAGTATTTATACCGCGCCGGCCGCCACTCTGACCTGCTGTCGCTCGGTTACCGGCCGACCAGACGGCGGCGATGGTCGAATGCGAACTACCGTGACCCAGAGACGACACGGCGAAGACGAGCGACGTGCGGTCGCCGACCTTGACTAGCTTTCTGCACCATTTACGTCAAACGGCGCGCACTGCTACCGCCGCTATGTTGTCAGTTGTCACCCGGCCGGCGACAGCGACGGCTACGCGCTGAAGTTTGGTTTGACTGCGGGGTAGACTGTACCGCAATACACTCGTGTCGTGCGGGACAGCCTACACAGCTGCCGCTGCCGCCTCGGTCTCAGATCCGCGCCGGACAGATTGGGTATGGACTATGGGGTTTGGACGCCTACCAACCGGAGACAGATATGAGGATGAGTTGGCAGTTAGAATATTTGCTTCAAATTGTGATGATTTTATGTTTTTGTAGTTGTTTCTCTATGTATTTTATTGGCCAGAATGTCATATTCGGCCCAATTTAGATGCTCGTTCCAATGACACGTAGCTCTGTTCGAAATGTCCTGCCGACCTCAGTTTCCGGCCGTACAGTGACTCTGCTGGACTGACGTAAACAAACAGTGGACGGTCATAATGCCAGAAATCATTCAGCACTGATGTATACACACTCCACATGATCTGCACATAAATAAGCAGTAAACACTAATACTCTTCGAAGTGTGGCCATTACATACGTCGATTGGAAATCGTTTGTGTTCTTCGCTGACTGCAATTCAGGTGCTGCGTCGGACCTTCCGAGGTTCATTTATAAACGAGCATCGTCGTTCATCTTTTCTTGTTTGGGAATCAGATACCGCGGGTGCATTGAATAACTCCTTATTAAAAAAAGCTGTGAAATAAGCGAACCCCAATCACCATATCTTTACTCGATAACAACTTTTTGTTACGAAGGATTCCGCGTTCCAACTGAAGCGTCCGGAGGTTCCTGCGATATTCGCACTGTGCCATCTCGCCGCCTCTTCCAAGTTTGGCAGGTGCGGCCACCGTTCGCGGTGGGACGCGCTCGATCGCCGCTGGCAGAGCGACAGGTCGCCGGTGAGGGGCGTCTGGCGCCGGCCGGTGCCGTGGCTGTCGAGGCTAATTGGTACAGCGGCCGGTCGGTGGCCTACAGACTGCTCCCGGCCGGCGGCATCCTGCCCGCCGAACGACAGACCGACGGGCTGGCCGCGCCAACCGCCAGCCGCCGCCGCCGCCGCGCCGCTGTTGTCTGCTCTGGCCTCTGGCGAACCCTCTCACCGGCCGTCATCCCGCCGCCGTCGGCTGTCTGTGCGAAGGCCGGCGTCACCCGGCCAGCTCCGGACGCGTCGTAAAAGCCGCTTGATGCCGCCATGAAGTCGTCCGGCGCGCGGCGCCTGCCCGGCCACTGAGCGGAGGCGTTTTATGTGGTGGTTTTGGACGGGGAGCTGCTGTCTGCTGTCGCTCTCCGCATCTTCACTTATCTCCCATCCTGTTTTTCAGTATTTAATTAATGTGGCGATATTTTAGTCTGTCTGGCGGCCTGCCCGCGCCGGTGGATTCCGCGGCACGTCGGTCAGCGCGGCCCACTGAGCCCGGAGGCGGGCCGGGCGCGGCGAGTGGGCGGGTCCGCCGCGTCCACCGGTGTCTGATCTGGACGTCTCTGCGTTGCAGACGGCTGCGGGCCCGGCGCCGGCGGCGGCGGCGGGCCCGGCAGTGTGCACCGTGCCCCTGACGGAGCACTCGGAGATTCCAGCCTCCGAGATTGTCATGCTGGAGGTGGACCCGCCGCCGCCGCCGCCGCCGGAGCCGGAGCCGGAGCCGGAGCCCGGGCCGGAGCCGCTCGACGGACAGTACCGGTGTTCTGAATGCGGCAAGACTTACTCACGAGCTCATTATTTCGTGCGTCACGTGCGCTCGAGGCACGGCCGGGTGGTGTCGATGGCGCCGCCGTGCTGCCCCGTCTGCCAGCGTGTCTTCTCGTCTCGCCAGGCGCTGGAAACCCACTGGCGCATCCATAAGGGCGAACTACCGTTCGCGTGTGAGGTCTGCGGCCGCCGGTTCCGGCAGAGCCGTCATCGGGACGATCACGCGCGCACGCACACCGGCGAGCGGCCGTACGCGTGCCAGCAGTGCAGCTGCACGTTCGCGCACGCGCAGACGCTGGCGCAGCACCAGCGGATGCACGCGGGAGTGCGACGTCACGCCTGCCCGTCCTGCCCGCGGCGCTACGGCCGCGCCGACAGACTGCGGGAACATCAGCTCAAAGTGCACGGCGTGCCCGGTCAGCCGCGGCAGGTGACGCCGCCGCGAAGGACGCGACAGCGGACTCGGCGGGCTGCCGAGGCTCCCGGGACTCAATCGCAGGAACCTGAAGCGCCGCTAGACTATCTTCAGTTACCTGAACTAGAGACTGAGGGAGAGGTGCCTCCCCCGGCGGCGCTGGCGGAGCGAGAGGCGCAGCACGCAGACTCCCTGGCTCTAGCGGCAGCGCACGACGCCCTGTCACTGCTGGAGTCGCCCGAATCAGACTCGGCTCGCTTCATCGACTCGCAGCCCACAGATAACATGCTGCTGATGCCCGCCCCCGGGGCGTCGTCTGCCCCACTGCTGGGTTCTGGGGACGGATTACCACTAGCTGAACCGAGCGGGACCGAGGGAGAGCTGAGACTGACTGGTGAGATGGCAGAACCAGAGACATTAACCCTGCTTGGGTCGCGCGGTGATGAGGTGGTCGCGCTGGATGTGGTGTCTGAGACTGGTGACGAACAGCACCAGCACCAGGGGCAGCGATCCGTGATGGTGCAGATCTCGGACGGGATGATCTCGTGGTGAACTAATATGATCTCATGGGCAGACTAAGGTGATCTTGTGGGCAGACTGAGCAGAGCTTGTACCGTCTGTTCAGACGGGTGACATCTGTCCTCGGCGGTGACAACTGGCGCCTGTCACTCCTGTCAGAACATTGTTACCCAGTGGCCCCCAGGGATGAATCGTCTTTCATTTTGTGTGTTCTTTGGATATATCTGAGTCAGGGATGCGGAGCCGTGGAAATTTCAAACGGCTCCGGCTCCGGCTCCGGCTCCGGAGAAAAAAATCGGCTCCGGCTCCGGCTCCGGCTCCGGGTGAAATGTTATGGCGGCTCCGGCTCCGGCTCCGGCTCCGAGTAAAATGGTTCGGCTCCGGCGGCTCCGGCTCCGGCGGCTCCGGCTCCGACTCAGTACATCCCCTATGCAATCAATTAAATACGGGTGGAAGAAAAATTGGCTTGGTTATACGCGTTACCTACTCTTGCCATGACCGGCTCACCGCGTCCCCGCGCAAACGCACCTCGGAGAGAACTGGCAGAACAAAGGACTAGGAAGCGATGGCATTGGAAACTCAGTCGCCGCGAATCGGAGTTCACTGAACCATCGTAAGCTGACACCCATCTCAGCGGCATTGGGGGGTGGGGGTGGGGGTGGGAAGAGACGGTGCTGGGAGTCGCAGTCCACTGCACTGGCTTCAAAACAATGGCGGTCACCTGATGACCGGTCCTCATGTTCTGGGGATGCAGTAGACGTGAGTGGGGGGGGGGGGGGGGAGGAGCAGACAGGAAGTTGATTGCGTACTGTGGGATACTGGGGATATTCGGCTTTTTCATTCACTTGATGGCCCATGACGTACTATTGGTCTCAAGATAAGGGCCCAGGCGATCTGTAGTTTTGATGCGGTGAATACCCTTACCCTCGCCACAACTCGGGCCGAGTGCACCCCTCCTCCCAGCCAGCGCCACCCCCACTCGCATTGTGGCGAGGGTGAGGGTATGCACCGCATCAAAACTACAGGTCGCCTGGGCACTTATATTGAGACAATAGTACGATATGTTTTACTGCCTTGTACTGTCAAACCGAACTAGGTCAATTATTTTTTTCCTCTTCAAAAAATAAAAAGGAGCCGGAGTCGCCCCCTTTTTTGGCGGCTCCGGCTCCGGCTCCGGCTCCGGGCTATATTGTTTCACGGCTCCGGCTCCGGCTCCGGCTCCGGGCAAAATATGCCGGCTCCGGCGGCTCCGGCTCCGACTCCGGCTCCGGCTCCGCATCCCTGATCTGAGTGGTTGACTACATTTTGAAATCTTTTTGCTGGGGAGG